TAGATAGTTGTTAGCTGCCATGTGGGTGTTGGGATACGAACCCAGGTCTTCTGCAAGAACAACCAGTGTTCTTAACTGCTGAGCCATTTCTTCAGGCCCTGGGATTTCTTTTTTAAAATTTCATTTATTATTTTATTTTGTGTGTATAAATGTATTGTCTGCATGTATGTAAGTGGACCCATGTTATGCAACGCCTGTGGCCAGGTACAATTCTCTGGAACTGGAGTTATGGATGGTTGTTAGTCAATTATTTTGTGTGTATAAATGTATTGTCTGCATGTATGTAAGTGGACCCATGTCATGCAATGCCTGTGGCCAAGCACAATTCTCTGGAACTGGAGTTATGGATGGTTGTTAGTCACCATGTGGGTGCTACAAATTGAACCTAGATTCTCTGCAAGAGCAGCCAGTGCTCTTAACCACTAAGCCATCTTTCCAGCCCAAAGCATTGGGATTTCTTATCCACTTCCCCATGTCTATGCTGGGATTTTGTCTGGTTTGAACTTGCATGGGTCTTGAGCATGCTGTCATCATTTCTGTGAGTTCATATGAGTAACTGACCAGTTTTCTGGAGAACTCTGTTTCCTTGTGGTCATCCACCACCTCTGGCTCTTATAATCTTTCCACCCTCTCTTCCACAATGATCCCTGAGCCTTGGGAAGCAGAAGTTTGATACAGGTGTCCTATTCACAGATGAGCACTCTGCGGCCTCTTGTTCTGTATGCATTGGCCAGTTGTGGTTTCCATGTTAATAACCATGTACTGCATAAGGAAACTTCTCTGGTGAGAACTGAAAGATGCATTCATCTTATTTGTACAGGTTGCATTAAAGATGTGTCACTTAGGACTAAGCGTCTCACAGACAATTATTCTCTGCATTTGACCAGTTGTGGAACTCTGTCTCTATCTTTGTGCCTTCTTAAGAGTGTTTAATCTTTTTTTCTGACCAATGTATTCCATCAAGTAATCTCTGTAGAGCTAGTCTTGTGGGCATAAATTCCTTAAATCTGTTGTTATCATGGAAAGTTTCGCCTTCTTCAATTACAACTAGTAGCTTTCATGGGTATAGTAGTCTCGGCTGGAATCTGTTCATCATGACTTATATGACATTGGTCCATGCCCTTCTGGCTTTCATAGTCTCCATTGAAAAGTCTGCTGTTATTCTGATGGGCCTGCCTTTACATGTGACTTAATCTTTCTCACAACTTTCAGTACCTTTTCTTACGTACATTTAGTGATTTTATTTTTTGAGACAAGGTCTCTCTGTAGCTCCAGCTGGCCTGGAACTTGCTACAGAGACCAGGCTAGCCTCGAACTCACAGAGATCCACCTGCCTCTGCCTCCTGAGAGCTGGGACTAAAGGTGTGCATCACTATGCCCAGCACGTTCAGTGTTTTAACTATTATGTGGTGTGGGGAGTTTCTTGTCTGGTCCTGTCTGCTTGGTGTTCTGTATGCTTTCTCTTTCTCTAGGTTTGGGAAATTTCCTTCTATGATTTTATTAAAAATATTTTCTGTGCCTTTGACCTAGGTTTATTCCCCTTCTTCTATGCTTATCATTTGTAGGTTTGGTCTTTTACAGTTTCCCAGAGTCTTGCATATTCTGTCCTGGGTTATTTTAGATTTGACATTTTATTTGACTGAGCGATCCCCAACCTTACCTTCAAGAGCTGATGCTCCCTGTTCCATTTCCTCTACCTTCTTCTCACTTCTTTCTGCTAAGCTTTTTGTTTGAGCTCCTCAGGTTTTTATAAATTTCACATTGACTTTTCTTCAGAGTTTCTATCTCTTTATTGAATTCCAGTTTCATGTTTTGAATTAACTTCATTTCAGCTGTTTCTTTGTATTTTCATGACCTTCATTTGGTTTTTACTCATATCCTCTTTGAATTCCTTGAATGTATTTGTAATGCTAATTTGAAGTCATTGTCCTGAACATCCACTTGATTGCTGTTCTCAGGAAACATTTCAATGGGGCCGTTAATTTCTGTAGTAACCATATTGTCATTCAAGTTGTTTGTGTTTTCCCACTGAGGCCTGGCATCTGTACTTGTGTGGTGGTGTGTCTCGGTATGGGTAGGTGATCTTGTCCTCACTGAATGTATCTTGTTTGTTGTTTCCCCAACTTGTCAGTTTGGAGCCACTTTATGTTGTGAAGATGTGGTGAAAGAAGTGTTACAGCTCAGCTAGAGATAGGTGCAACTTTTGAGTTGAGATTTCTGGACTGACTGCCCAAGGTTCTGGATCAGCGGGGCAGGATGGGGGCTGCTAAGAGAAAAGGTTGGCTTGTAGGTTAGAGTGCCAGTTTGCAGGTCTGGGGTACATAGAGCTCAGATGGCCAGACACAGGGAGGTCTCAGGGCAGAGTTCAGGACTGCAAGTCTGGGTTGGGAAGGATCCTGGAGACTCAGGCTGGGCTGATAGCTGAGGTGGCCTGGAACTGGATTTTCATTGACACTTATTCTTTCCTTACATTATCATCGCATTTAAGAGGTAGATTTGGCTGGGTGTGATGGCCCACACTTCAAATCCTACTCAGGAGGCATCCACCTGCCTCTGCCTCCTGAGAGCTGGGACTAAAGGTGTGCATCACTATAGATGATGGAGAATGATTCACTCTGCCAAGACAAGTGGTATGTAGAGCTGGGATGGGATTGGATCCCAGTGGTCCAAGGAAATCTGAGAACTAAGATCCAGGGTGGTAGGGAGTGTGGGGATTGAGCTCAGGGTTGTTAGTCTGGGGTAGGAAGGATCCTGGAGACTCAGGCTGGACGATAGCTGAGGTGGCCTGGAACTGGATTTTCATTGACATTATTCTTTCCTTACATTATCATTGCATTTAAGAGGTAGCTTTGGCTGGGTGTGATGGCCCACACTTCAAATCCTACTCAGGAGGTAGAAGCAGGTGGATCTCTGAGTTCCAGGCCAGCCTGGTCTACATAGTGAATTCTAGGCTAGCCAGGGCTACATAGTGAGACACCGTCACAAACAGAAGGCGAAAAACGACGTAACTTGGATTTTTATCAATTTAGAGTTTGTTTCTCCATCAATATTTGTAAACATCATTTTTGACATTTCAACTCAGTGTTGCTTTTTGCTGTTGAGAATTGTGAGATCTGTTTAATTTTTATTATTTTGAACATTATTTTAGCCACTCAAGAGTGTAGTCCAAAAACCAGTACCTGTATAAAAATTATTTATTACAAGTCCTTTATGAAACATACTTAGATATGGAGTAGTAAAAAGGACTTTTAGAGCAAATTGATAGAATAATTTTACTTAAGTTAAATCTAATAATATAATTGCTATTGTCTTACAATGGTAAGTTTTTCTTTTATTTGTGTTATTTTATAGTAATTCATTTAGGAAAATTGTTGGTCTATATTGCATCAGATGTAAATAAAGACTATCATCAGAGAATATACTCAAAGTATAATATACATTTGCCCCAAAATGGCCTTATGTAACCCTACATATTATATATATATATAGTTACTATATATAATAACAGTAGCATAACAGTAATAATAGTAATAATAATGGTGATGATAATAATAGTAATAGAGCCAAAATGAGCCACTAATACACAGGCAGGACACAAGCCTGCAGTCAGACTCACCTTAGGAATGGTTAAACAGATTTTATATCAAAAGAAGAAAAACCAGTTACAATTATAAGATAATTCACAGCCAAAACTGGATCATCTCTGCAGGCTATTTGAGAAGCCTGTCTTGATGTCCAGACACTCTGGTCATGGAGCCTTGTGAAGTCTCAGGCTAAGAAGCCTCACAGTCAGTGGTGTCTGTGACCAGCCATTAGGACCGGAGTCCTGGAGTTTACAGAGAACACCCTGCCGTGCTCATAGTGAAAACTCTTTCTCCAGATCATCTAGGGCTGTGAAGAGAAGTCCAAGGGTTTACATGTGAAGTAGGGATAAAGTAGGGATAAAGGGAAACAGGCCTGGGAGAAGGAAAAGATGTGGGTATCATCGGTCATGTTGTAGAAAGAAAGGTCATCGTCTATGTCATCCAGGAAAATCGCAACCTTCTGTGGATGGTTTTCGACCCAAAGACATTCTTCTTGGGAAATGTTATTGGAACAGAAGGTAAGAGCCCTGTACGTATCTCCCTTCTTCTCCAAGACACTGAATTTCTTCTCTGATGATTTGTTGAGTGATATGTCCCCAAATGTCGACAGCTCATAAACACCCAGTGCCCATTCCTCAGTGTTCCCAACGTCCACCTCCCAATACCATCTCCCCCAAACGAAGCCTTCTTGGTGGAGTGTAATAAGGTTGGTGTCCTCTTGAGTGTTGCTAAGAGTCAGACCCCGGGTCTCCTCCCTGCGGTTCTCTTCTGCCTTTGGGTCAGGGTTGTCCTGGTGAAGTGCTCCACGATATATACTCACAGGAGCTGGGGGCAGAGGAGAAGAAGGAGAAAGACAGGAAGAGGAGGAGGAGGTGACAAGGCCACCACTGCAATGTCTGTTTACCATTAACTTTGTATTCAAAACTAGAATTGCATGTCTCAGAAAGAAACTGGGAACGCTGAGCTGATGGTGCAGCAGCCCTGAGCCTCAGGATGAGTTGGGGGCATATGTGCCCTCTCCATGCATCCCAAGCTCTGCCTCCCACTCTGTCTTAACTGTGGGGCTGCCAGGGTCTTTGCAGAAGTCGGTGTGAGCCAGAGCTTGCAGTGATCATGAGAGCAAATTGTTCTCTGTGAATCAGCCACGTTCTTCAGTTAATAAAAGGCTTACTGACAAGCTGACCTCCTCAAACAGAGATGCCGAGTCTTCTTACTACTCTGAGGAGTTTTTCTTACTTAGGGGTCTTGTCAGCTGAGAAACTGTTGATTTCTGTTATCTATACTCTGGATCTCAGAGATGAGGGCTGGACCATGTGTGATGCTGGAAGGTATGTTATAACAGATGACGAAACAAGGTTTGAGAGGGCAGACTGGGGACTGGCTTTGTAGCTCAGTGGCTTCCCTAGTATGTGCAAGGCCTTAGGTTTGATAGTCCACAAGAAAGCAGAAAAGAAAACAACAACAGCCTAAACTTCAGAGGCCAGATTGGAAAGGGGCCAGTAATGATAAACACATCACTCACCTCGTTGGAACAGCTCCTTCCTCCAGTCTGAAAGAAAGTAAAGCAAGCTCGAGACTGAGGTGGAAACACACCCAGGGGATGAAAGGGAATGATCCTTCCTTCCCTGGCTCGGTGCTTTCTCCTCCCAGCTCCCCTCCCCCCACCAAGCCATCCAGACTCTCTGGAGTTCGGAAACTCTGGGGACACGTGGACTGCTTTCTGTGCTGCCAGGAGCTGTACCCTGAAGCAGCCCAGTGCTGGGGCCTAAGGTTCTCTAGCCTGTGCCAGGTCTGCAGAACCCATAGCTGTTTTTAGACGCTGAGGGACCATGCACACACTGCCCTCCTTGCTGTGGAGGAGAGCCACCAAGTGTTGTTTCATCCTCAGAACAGGTGTTATGTGTGTGGCTAAGTTCTTTAGACTCTCTCCTATTATTTTTAGCATTATAATCAGACCTGGTGTGGCAAACACTCATACATATAAAATAAAAATAAAAAATTTAAAACAGTTTAATGCCTGGGGCAGGAGAGCTGGCTCAGCAGTTAAGAGCACTGGCTGCTCTTGCAGAGGACCCGGGTTCAATTCCCAGCACCACATAGTGGCTAACAACCATCTGTAACTCCAGTTCTAGGTGATCCAATGCTCTCCTCTGATCTCTGTGGGCATTGTGTGACACATACATGCAGGCAATGCACTCATACACATAAAATAAAAATAATAAATGAAATATTAAAAAACTGATCTAATGTCTTTGAGTCACTTACCAGGATAGAGCCAAGCTTTCTTCCAATCTGAAACAAACCCAAGTAAGATAAGGTGAGACGCTGACCTGAGCCTCACACTTCCCTCCTTTCCTCTTCCTCTTCCTCACTGTTCAGTGAACCCTTCAGTCTTCCTCTCATGAGAGGGATCTGGGGAGGGGAGCATCAGAGCATCAGAGATGCCCTAGTTAACTTCAACAATGTGATACAGCTCAGGGTCATCTGAGGGAGTGCCAGCTGGGGGATTACCCCAATTGACTTGTGGCTGTGTGTGTGTGTGTGTGTGTGTGTGTGTGTGTGTGTGTGTGTGTGTGTGTGTGTGTGTGTGTGTGTGTGTGTGTGTGTGTGTGTGTGTGTGTGTGTGTGTGTGTGTGTGTGTGTGTGTGTGTGTGTGTGTGTGTGTGTGTGTGTGTGTGTGTGTGTGTGTGTGTGTGTGTGTGTGTGTGTGTGTGTGTGTGTGTGTGTGTGTGTGTGTGTGTGTGTGTGTGTGTGTGTGTGTGTGTGTGTGTGTGTGTGTGTGTGTGTGTGTGTGTGTGTGTGTGTGTGTGTGTGTGTGTGTGTATTGCCTTGATTGTTGACTGATGTGGGTGGTGCCAACCCTGGGCAGGTGGTCCTGAGTTGTATAAGAAAAGCAGCTGAACACAAGGCCTGGGTCAGCTTTGCTCTGTCTTGGCTCCTGCCTCTGCTCTTGAGTGTCAGCCCTCAAGTGATGAACTATGACCTCAGCTGAAATAAATCTCCTCCTGAAATTGCTTTTAGGTCACAGTGTTTATCATGGCTAGAGAGCAGGGTGTGTAAGAACCCCAGGCTCTTACCTTCTTTGTATAGTGCCTTTCGCTGTTCTGAAAGAAAAGACATTCAGTGAGTGACCCAGAGCC